ACAATCTGATAGTCTTGGTCTTTTCACTGGTGACTTTAACTAACTTAAAATTATTTTAAACCTATATAAGTATTTTTCACTACCTTGATTTTCCACGTGGTGCATTCACTATACATTTTGGGGGTCTTTTTTCCTACTTTGCATTGAATAGAACAGATTCTCTTTGTTTGGCTAGTTTAAAAGACATTCATTGTTTTTTATTGTTACAGTGGCTTTCTTAAGGTAAAAAAGCCACACACCTATGTTCATTTATTCCTATTAAATATGAACATAACAAACATCCATATATACCAACTACCCAGGTTAGAAAATAAAACCTTAGGAAACAAAACCTTGGTAGAATCTGCCTGTATATCCCTCTTCATGACACTTCCTTCCCATCCCCTTAAAGTTAATCACTCTTTTGAATGTGGTCCTTGTAATCCCTATACATGACTTTATATTTTTACTACATATATGTGTCCTTAAATTATGTGTGGTATTGTTATGCATGCTTTCAACTCAAAACAAATGGTATATCTGGCATGCATCCTTTGCAACTTGCTTTATTTTCCCCTCAACATTATGTGTGGAGATTTATTCAAAGTTGATACATATATCTATATTCAGTGCTGTGTAATATATTATGCATATCCATTATATGAAGAAACCACAATTAATTTCTCTAAGGTATATATTATTCATTTTCAGCAGAAGAAGGCTGGAACAGAGACAAAATGATCATCCTTTAAGATGGTTTTAAGAAGACAAAGTGGAAATGATCACCAAAAAATTTCTAAAAAGAAACAAGTAAATTTGACAAACTGGACATTCGGCAAATTGACCTAGAGCCCAATAAGAGGAAAAAGAAGCTGTGGTAGCAAAAACAATTCTATCTACTAATGGCCCCTCTATTATCTGCTCAGACTGCCATAACAAAATACTACAGGCTGAGTAGCTTCAATAACAGAAATTAATTTTCTCACAGTTCTGGAGGCTGGAAGTTCAAAATCCAGGTGCCATCAAGATTGGTGTCTAGTGTGGCTTCTCTTCCTGTCTTGCAGATGGCTGCCTTGTCGCTGTGTCCTCACCTGGCCTCTTCTCTGTTTGCATGCACATGGAGAGAGAGAGCAGGTGCTCTTGTGTCTCTTTCTTAATAGAACACCAGTCTCCAAAGAACACCAGTCCTATGAGACTAGGGCCCTACCTTTATGGCCTCTTTAACCTTAATTACCTCCCTAAGGGCCCTGTCTCCAAATACAGTCACATTGGGAAGTAGGGCTTCAACATATAAATTTTAGGAGGGTACAATTCAATCCATAACACCCTCAAATGATATGAATCACTTAATGATTGCCACAACAATACTATATATAAGCAACCTCAATTTCAGTGGCTAACAATAACGAATAATTATTTTTCTTGCTCATGGGTTTTGTGGGTTAATTTGGATGAGATTGATCTCAGCCAGAGTTGGCTGGGGCTGTATCTAGGTAATTAGGATTAGATGAGGTCATCAAGGTGGAGCTTCCATGGCAGGACTGATGACTATAAGAAGAGGAAGAGAGACCAGAGCTGAAATACATGCTGTGGCCTTCTCATCAGGTGATGTCCTCAGCCATATTATCATGTAGCATGAAGGCCCTCACCAGATGCCAGTACCATGCTCTTGGATTTCCCAGTCCCCAGAACTATAAAAAGTACATTTCTATTCCTTATAAATTATCCAGTCTGTGTTATTTTGTAATATCAATGCCAAATGGACTAAGGCAGATTCCTGGGGCATATTCTTTTTGTAGTAGTAGCAGAAGCACAAGAGCCCCATACATAATCACGTAAACGTATTTCAAACCTCCACTTGTACCATGTCTATCAATGTCCTATTAGCCAAAACATGGATGAACCAAGAGTCAAGGAGTGGAGAAGTCAACTTCACCCACCCATGAAGCCATGGCAATGGTGAAAGTATATAGTACTATTATAGTATAGTGAATAATTGGAAGAGAGAATTCAATCAGCCATAGCATAAACTGAGGCTCTGTTTGTTTGGGATGAGCTTTAACTAGCATTAAAAGACATTATACTTCTGCACTGGCCTATTGAGTAGTAAAGGCTGATGCTGCAGCCACACCAAAAGTCATTGTTTCTCCATGTTGTGCTTTGATTGCCTTATGAACTTGGTAGATCTATTCTTACGTTCTTGATCCAGTGAACCCTATGCTTTGTTTGAGGGTTCAAATTAATCACACTGTTTTACTCTATGAGTTCTGGGTCATTTTAGAAATATCCACAGGGTCCTTGTATGAATTCAATACAGTATTAGCTTTATTATTGGTGAAGATTTCCTGTACCCAAGACTAAAACTGTCTTCCTGCCATTTCCCCTCCTAATTTGAACCATCATAGTTGTCACACCTAGAGAGTACCCTGCATGTCTGCTTTGTTTATTGCATGGGAAAAGGAAGAAGAGGAGATGGTCACAATTAATCAAGTGAAGGAGAAAGGTGGGATTAGAAGTGTGTCCAAACTGAAGAAATAATCTGAGCGCAAGCATTGAGCCCCTGACAAACTAGTAGCCATTGAAGTCTTCAGGTAGTTAACTATTCACTATGCAGGTGCTGTAATTGCTGAAGATTAACCACTTCGGTACCAGCGTCGACTATACTCGATAGCCACAGATGAACGCTCACAGCAACTTTAGCCGACAGCCATGATATGACTTTTCTCATTTTTCATTTATCAAAATAAAATTGTGAACATTTGAAAATAATGTAATGAAAACATATATGTATATATATATGTTACCTATTCTGATTTATATTACAAGTAAAGCTGCCTGAAAAGTAAAACAAGCTAGGCTGGGCGCAGTGGCTCACGCCTGTAATCCTAGCACTCTGGGAGGCCGAGGCGGGCAGATTGCTCGAGGTCAGGAGTTCGAAACCAGCCTGACAAGAGTGAGACCCCGTCTCTACTATAAATAGAAAGAAATTAATTGGCCAACTAATACATATAGAAAAAATTAGCCGGGCATGGTGCACATCGTGAGTCCCAGCTACTCAGGAGGCTGAGGCAGGAGGATTGCTTGAGCCCAGGAGATTGAGGTTGCTGTGAGCTAGGCTGACGCCATGGCACTCACTCTAGCCTGGGCAACAAAGTGAGACTCTGTCTCAAAAAAAAAAAAAAAAAAGTAAAACAAGCTTTCAGTGCTTTAAAGCTTTCCTCATCACACAAGAGCAAAACGGATTCATCGTCAATGCACAGCACAAACTATCGTGTGGACTGTGAGTGCTGGCTGTGGGCAAGGTTTCATGGCCGGTGAGTGCCTCACCGAAGTGGTTAAGGCCCTTGGACAATTTAGCCTAAAGAAAATCAGAGCCAGAGGGAACCTGAGAGCGGACCACAAACATAAAGGGAAGAAAATAACTTCATTAATTCAGTCATTCATTCAATAAATATTTATTGAGTGCTACCTTGTGCCAGGCAGTTCTGCATGCTGAGGATTAACAGTGTTCTGCATATTAACAATTAACAAGATAACCCAATCTCTGCCTGTGTGATCCTTGCATTTATGGATGTAAGCAGTACAAACAGCAAACAAATAAGTAAAATATGTAGTATGGTAGGAGGTAAGAAGTAAGTAAGCAGTAAGGAGGAGAAAATTAAGCAAAGAAGAGGGCTAGGATATGTTGGTGGGGTGCAATTATGGAAAGGATGGCCAGACTATCTTCACATTTGAGTAAAGATCAAGAGGAGATGGGGCCATCGGATGAGTGCTCTTCACTGAGGTACCAGCACATGCAAAGACTTGCAGTGGTTGAATGTGGAAGATAGAAGTTGAGGAATAGTACAAAGGCCAGTGTGTGGGAGTATGAGGAGTCAATGAGGCCAGGCAGGTAATGAGGATGGTGGCGAGAGGAGAGGAAGGGAAGATCAACTTGGACCTTGTATGCCACTGCAATTCCTCAGGTGTTTGCTCAGCGAGACAAGGAGTCATTGGAGTGTGTTGAACATCGGGGAGATGTGGTCCGATCTATTTAATACCTTTTACAGTGATCGTGGAGCTATTGTGTTGAGTACAGATTGAAGGGGAGAAAGGGACATACTTCTATATGGTCCTGAGAAAATAATTAGAGTCAGCGAGTAGAAGGGGCTGACGTTTCTAAATAACTAGCTAACTTAACTAATTAACCTAATTAAATGACTGTCCACCAGTGAAACTGCCTTCCCAGTCAGGTGGGAGTTATACTCAGCAGCTTGTCACTGTTGGTCTCAGAGGACGCTGGGGATGTTCGTGCTGGGAAGTTCCTACATTGAAAAGGGCATCAGACCATATGGCTTTCCAGCTTCCTTCCAATACTGAGGGTCTGTGATTCCACAGCATGTGTTATCTCAGTCTCCTCCAACTAGAATGTAAGCTCCTTGAGAGCAGGGAGTTTTGTCCATTCTGTCCAGTTCATTGCTCTATTCCCAGTGCCTACAATAGGGCCTAGTATACAGCAGGCACTCAATAAGTATTAATGTTTGTTAAGGGTATGAATGTCTCTGTTAAACTTATTGCTGGACCTTGAGCAAGACAATTTTGTGCACCTCTCAGAATACACCAGTTGGATTGGGTGGCGGGAATGACCTTCTATATTGGCTGGTCTGTGATCCTCATTTAAAACTCTGAGCCATCATTTCTAAAGGGCTTCACAGGCCAAGGGGTACAAGGAGGGGCTCTCATGGGGATGAAAGGCAGGGGTGAGGAAAGGGCAAAGCTAAGTGTGGGAGAAGTGCATGGATAACCTCTGGAGCTGGGGACCAGGGTACTCTTAAAATAAATGCAAATTGTCTTCTTTGACACTCACAAAGCTCTAGCTTCAGTGAGGGATGTTTCACTAGAGACTGAGGGTACAAGACACTGAGGGTCTATCCCAAGTGTGTTGCCTTTGCTTCAAATGAGTTAGCCTGGTCAGCAAAGTGCTTATGGCCCCCTGAAGCTCTCCTGGGAAAAAGAGTAAAACAGCAGCGGAGATTCCATTTAAGGGTATCGAAAATACGTTTTTAATTTTGATGAAGTTCACAAATGACAACATTGACATTTCTTTAGACAATAGTTCCATCAAGGCACGGAATTACCATATGTCCCCAGGTGTCCAAGAAGCAGTGATTTCATGTCCCCCTGAGGTTCAACAGAGCTGCCAACATTAACAGGATGACTGATAGGGCCCAGATTTGCTACCAGGTAAGCCAATGAGACATGCTGTCATATTTATTGGATACAGAATGAAATATGGAAAGGATGCACAATAGGTAACTGCAATGAGCTTATTTTGCATTTAACTTTAGTTCTTTGCAAACAAAGAAGATAGTTTTCAATATCATGAAGGATGCAAATATATATGTCTTCCATGGAGCCTCTCCTACAAATTGCTTTCATTATACATTAAAAGACTTAGAGTTTGGCTTCACTGTGACCTAGGAGGAAGAGAAAACAAAAGCTAGAGGTTAGTTACTGATTAATTGTCAGACTCTTGATATCTATTATCTCATTTGCTATTTATATTAATGCTACGAGGTGGGTAATTTTGTTGCTCTCAATTTACAGATGGGGAAACTGATACTCATGGAGAGTTTAGTGGCTGGTTCATGGTCATATAACTAGTAGAGGGCAAACAGTTTTTGAACTCAAGTCTATGCTTTTAATTCAGGGACACATGGCACTGAAATGTATACTCTAAAAGGATAGTGTCATTATATTTCAAACTGAAGTGCTAGAATAATCACAATTACAATGGCAAAGAACAATTTTTGAAATAAACAGGTTCTCTATTTCCTGGTCTAATCATCTCAGTGTTACAAGGAGAAACTGGAAAAATAGGGAGAAGATGAATATAAATTCTAGTTTCAGCTTTTGGATCTCAGCATCCTTTCTACAGATACTGGCGTGGGTATTTTCCCCCTGTGGATTTTTCCCAGGCATACGGGCCCAAGGATGCTCAGAGCATAAACCACAGCCATGCAATACCCTGTTGTCTGTGCTCGCATCCCAAAGTACAAGGGTGTTCACCTTCTTGGAGGCATTTAGGTGCTCAGGCCTGAAGGTCTCTGCGACGCCGGCCAAAGGCTTTAGAATCCACATTGGTGGGCATGAAGTTGCTGTTCACCACACCACCTGATCTGCTCAGCAAGTCTGCCAGGCGATGAGTCACGCAGGTGGCAGTGTCGCAAGCTCTCTTCCGGGTAGTGATGCTGATTTTCAGGATGAGGAAATAATAGAAGATCTGTGAGCGAGAGGATGGGGGAGGAACCTGCCCCATGGGACCATGATGGTAAAGTTGCTGCTCTCAGAGGCACCAATTAACCTTAAGTGTTTCTCCCAAACACAATTATCAGAGCAGAAAATCACAAGGCCATTAGGGAAAATGCCATGATTACTCCCATAGACACTCCCAGGGGCATCAGAAAACCCCAAGGTGACTCTGGGTGACTGGTCATGGAATAAAGAGCTGTAACATCCAATACTTCTTGTATAAATGGAATAAAAATTAGCAAAGATTTTTGAGACCAGAGTGAATTATGTATGGCACGATGCCCAGCCCCATTCACAAGAACTGTAGAATCCATACCTCAGTCACAGGCACCAAATACCCTCTCCTAGGAAAATAAAAGTTCTCCAGTCTTACCTGGAAGAGGAAGAGAGTGCAGTCTGCAACATCCAGTCCCAGAGGTGTTTACCTGCTTGTTAGCACCCCTGTTCTTGCTGCTTGAGCTCGGTAACAGGGACCATCCACCATCCCCTATGTCCTGCTACCCTAGGGTTAAGGCTACTTCTAAGTACAGGTGCTAGACACCATGAAACCTGGGTCAGGGGCCAGATCAATGACCACCACAGCCTGGGTCTTTTTAGAAAAAATAGTTTTATTTCCCAAATGAACAGCACATTCAGAAGCAAGATGAAGAAGCTCTGCTATGAAAGAAATCCTTAGGGGACTCTGGGCTGCCCTTGCTCTCTGATCTCTTCCTGGGTGGTTCTCTCCCAGCCTGTGAGTCCTGCTCTTTCTCTTCCCACCTGAGGCTCTAGACATCCTCTACCACAAGGAAAGCCACTGATAAAAGCCCTAAGAGCAACCAGAGAGGAACCACATGCATCAAGTTAGAAGTAGGAAGCCAGAAAGGAAATTAGAAAGGAGGGGGAGGAGTTTAGTTGGTATCCTGGGGCATGCTGACATGAGGGCGGTGGTCTCTCTCCAAGTCGATGGCTGTATCCCTTTTCTTGCCAGGTGCTCTAGCCCCAGTTGCAGTTTGAGGGAACGTGTGAAACTTGTTGAGGTCCTGTGTGTACGTGCCCAGCATGCAAGTACTCAGACTACCGCACCGCTTAGATCTGGCGCTGTCCAGGCTGCAGGGAAAAGACATGCAGATATTACCATGCACCAGGGGCTGCCCCGTGGACACTCAGAAGATTGATCTAGGCTGGGGGGCAGCTCACACATCCTCCATCATCAGACTCAGAGGTTCAGTGAGCCAGGGCAGAGTGGGGAAGGGCTAGGTGGAGAAGGGTGACCTTTTCTGGCATTCCACATGCTGTTCAGTCCTACATGCTCATAGAAGGGTTTTCGGGGTGGATGCAGGTGCAACACATGCCTCTGCCCAGGCAGGGCTGGGGCCAGGCTGGTCTCTGTTAAGGCTCAGGGAGCACAGGGAGGGGGTGCTGGGGATAGGTGCCCACCCTTGCTGGGTGACAACATGCACATCTCCCTGGATGTTGCACATCCACAGACCGAGACCTACCTCCGACACTACTCTACTTGTCCCTACCCCCTGCAAGGGCTTCACCTTCACCTTGCAAATGTGAGATGAAGGCTCCTTACTGGTGTCAAAGAATGTCATCTGCAGATTAACAAAACTCAATTTCTAAAATCTCCTGAGATATACCAGGTCTATCCACTTTATCCTTACCAGGCTTAACTCATCCAATGCTGAGAGGTCTCCCCAGTACTCAAAGGGAAACTTCTGCAGTGAGCCATTGCACATCTTCCCATTTCATTTCCTAACAGCTTCCTGAAAGCTGTTAGGAAATGAAATGTCTAATGTCTAATCACAGTCCTTCCAGCTGCACCAGGACCTCTGACTCTCATGGAGCCTGAGAACGGCTTGGCCCCAGGTCCTGGTGGAGAACCACAGCCTGCTGGACCCTGGCCAGTGTGTTCTCTCCTACCTGGCTACCCCTTCCTCAGTGTCATGGGGAGGGGAGGCCTGTGCTGTGTGGCGTGGGGAGCCTTACCTGGAGCCCTCTGTCTCCAGTTCCTGTTGCAGCTCGCCATCCTTCATCTGCACATAGTCCTGCACCAGCGCAGCCAGCAAGAGGCGCACTTGCTCCTCACTCAGCATAGCCTGGCCCGGGATGCTCTCCAGGGTGGACCTGGGGAGGGAAGCAAACCAGTGCAGGCTGTGAGCTCCTGCCTACCCTCTCCTCAGGATATGCAGCCAGGCTTCCTGGTCCTTGCCTCCTCCTTTGAGGAGGAGTCCAACTCAACTTCCAGTGATGGGGTAGGAGGTCACTGTTCTCAACAGGAGCCAGGCACTGATGTGGTCTCCAAGCAGTGGTTTGCTGGAGTCAGTTCGTAACAGGCTCATGAAAGTTGATGCTTAAATATTCAGGAATCTTGCAAGCTGAGTGAAACCATTAGTAAAAATTAAATGATGAAATTCTGAAAAAGGTTTCATTTTAATAAATTTGTGTGTGTGAGAAATAGACTAAAGGGTAACATATTAGCTTTAATAACACCAAATTTATTGGCAAACTAGGTAGCAGATTAGGATGCAATTCATTTCTGAAGTCAAGGCTGAATTGGATAAACTAGTTCAGCTATAGATACAAGTTTGGTACAAATCAATGAAAGCATTTTGTAAGCCTTAATGAGCTATATGAAATTTACAGTAAAGAATATTGTATACTTTATTATTATTTATAAATTGTGTCCTACATACCTTTATATCAGAAAAATGTATGTATGTGTATACATATGTACATACATGCTCCTGCCCCTCAACTGCCCCTGCCCCAGGATTTTAAGCATTCGGCACAGCACGCCAAAATTAGGATGCAAAGAATTGTTTGATCCACGGGGCAGTGGGAGGGCAGTGTGCTCCTGGCTTCAGGTTGTCTTACCGGAATGGCGCTGCATGGAGGCTGCCCACCTGGTACAGGACCAAGATGCTGAGAGCCAGAAAGAGGGAGAACTTCTGGAAGCCCATGATGCCCCTCTGCAAGGGAAGAATAATGTCACTGCCTGCACCAGTCCAAAGTTCTATGAACCCACATACGTGGACTCTTGTCCTGTTTCTGCCCTGCCCCTATCTCCCTGGGTTTGTGGCTTCAGACTGGTCATTACATTTCTCTTCATCTTTATTTCCTCATCAGCAAAGTGCGCTGCTGGAAGGTCCGGTGGGCCTGTAGCATGCAGTTTGGGAAACCTGGAAGAGTGTTCCTAGCAGGACAGCTGGGTGGGGAGGTCTCAGTTCCAGCCCAAAGCCACACACACAGACACACACACACTCGTTAGTCAGGTCTCTGTGGAGGGCACTCTGGGATCTCCCTATCACATATGTTTCTCTCATAACGAAACCAGAGCTGTCCTCCTCGGGGCTGTTGCACACACCTGGGTGGGGGAGAGCGAGGAGATATGTAGAGAGGGAATATCTCTCCCTGGGAATCTCTGGGAAACAGAAGAACCAATTTTCCTGCTCAGCTGCTCCGCCCTCTGGCAACTCAGAGCCCTGCAAGAACCAAGCTTAACAGAGTTTTAAATTGGGACCCCAGACTTCCCTCTGTTCCCAGAGCTGGCGACTGGGGCTTGTGGTTTAGTGCTGCCTGCCCCTGGGTCTTTGTGCCCATTTTGCCACCCGTTGGCGCTGGCCTAGGTTCTGAACGAATTTCCCCGGGCACTGGGAGGCTCCAGACGCGATCCCCGGATGCAGGGTCTGCGGAAAGCAACTCCTGAGTTCTGCTCTGTGCATGGTGCCTGGGAGCCCCCAGTGTGGGGAGATTGGCCTAAGTCTGTGTGGAGGAGAGAGTGAGACTGGAGTCGGAAGCTGCGCAGGAAGAGCGGAGCAAGGAGCTCCCGGAACAGAAGGAGACTGTGCACTCCTGCCTGGGGCAGAAGCCTGGTATGAATCGTGGACTAACAGAGACTACAAGAGATTGAGACAGAAGTGGACAGAGACTGAGAGTGGCAAGGAGATAAACTAAGAGAGACCAGTGCAGAGAGAGGGAGGGGAGGAGAAGGAGAAATAGAATGACACATTTGAGCAGGAATCTCAGAACTCACCTGGCGGACAGTGACTTGGAGCAGGGGCAGCAGTAGCAGCGTTGTGGTCCAGGGGCGCCTGGCCTAAGCGGCAGGGACTCTTGATCTGGGCAGTGGCTCTGTTGCCTCCCAGAGCCAGTGGCTGCTCTTATTGCCTCCAGCGGTAGGTCGGGAGGGGTCCTTGAGTGTGGAGCATCCAATGGGAGAGGGGTCTCATGCTGCAACCAGCTTGCGTCACTACCTCCCTGCTTCTAGAACCTGGAGTAAACAGTCAGGTGGCCCTACTTATATTTGCATTGAGATCATAGATGGAAGTGTGTGTGTGTGTGTGGGGGGGTGGTGGGGACCAAGGAAAAAGGCCCTTAAAGTGAGCAGAAATTTGAGGGCAGTTTGTTGTCACCATGGATTTCACCTCCAGTCCCACTGGGTTTTGAACCTGTGCCCCACTCCACCCCTGGCTGTGTGGCAGGGGATTGTAGGGACTCCTGGCTCCCCCAGGACTGACCCCAGACCCTTGCCCAGTTGAGGCTTAAAGGGTTAACATGATGCTGGGTGGATTCTGGGTGGAAACCTGCTGCCCTATCCTGGCAGCTGGTATCACTCACGGAGGGCCAGGGCAGGAGATGGAGCTGGGAGTAAGAACTTTGTTAGCCCTGAGCTCAATTCCAGCTGTGCCAATTCCAGACTGTGTTACCATGGGCGAGGAAATTCTCAGAGCCTCAATGTACTCATCTTGGAAATTGGCACCAAAGCCCCACCTTGAAGAAAGGCTGTGAGGTGTATTCCAGTGCCTGGTCCCCAACTAGGCAGGGATCTAGCAGTTTCTCGGTTCACATAGGGGATTCTGTAAAATCTCCATTGATACTGAATCCCCACCTCACCAGACTGCACTCACGTTGGGTGGTCCCAGGGTGCTGTTCAGATCTGTTACACTTGGGAAGAGGGGGCAGATGTCCAGCTGGGCCTGAGGAGTGAGGTGCAGGGGACAGATGCTTCCCAAGCCTGCATCCAGACTTCCAGCCCTCCCCCTCTTTCTGCCATCCATCACCTCTCATTCAGTCCTCCTGCCCCACTCATTTGCACAGCTTCCTCTTTGCTTCAGGCTTGTGTTTGTCAAGATGTCCAAGTAGCATCTGGTTCCGCCCCAACCCCCACCCCTGGACTCCTGTCCTCCACTAATGAGGAGGCAAGCTTGACAGTGGTGTGGAGTCCCTGCCTGACTCATGTTCACACTCACGTCTAGTCACACTCATCCACACACGTAAACTCACCACTGCCTGCAAACATGCCCACTCCGCCAAGCAGGGAGACACACAAAACAGACACTGGCTCACAGGGGTATCCGTAGGGGCTCGCTCTCAGAGGTGTGGCAAGCCTGCCTCTGAGTCTCTCCTGCAGTCGCATCCACACATCGGCGTGATGATAACCTGCTCACATCATACCTGCACACCCTCTCAAGAAGAGGCTCTCTCCACCGCGTCCGTTCGACGCGACTCTGACACCCAGCACAACCTGGCTTCAGGACCACTCTGCCTGAGCGTTCAGCTCCAGGCAAGCCCAGAAGGGCTGTGGTCAGGACTATGGCACTTGCTGCCTGCAGAGGGTAGGGAGAGCAGAAAGAAGCGTGTGGGCGTTCCTGGGATCTCTGGGTCCTAGAGCACAGGGCGCGATCCACAGCAGCCTGTCCGGAGGCTGCCAGTGTGGTGAGCACAGCAGCTGCATCCGGGGCTGTGCAGGGAAGGGAAAACTCAGCTTCGTGGTTCCCCAGGCACTGCAGAAATTAGCCCGCAGGTGTGCTGTGGATGGATCTAGATTTGGAACTCCAGGTAGCCCTCCTGTCCACACCCCAGACCTCAGTCTCCAGAATCAGCTGTTTCCTAAGACACCCTGCCTGGTGCTACATCTCTTTCGCCTCTGGGGTTGGTGACCTCCCTGCTCAAAGAGGCAGCAGGAATGCCTAACTTCCCAGATGCCCTTCTTTGACTTTCCCTCTCTACTCCAGGGGGCACGACTACAAGGGAATACAAACTCTGGGCTGGGGAATGGGTGTCTGAGACTGGCTCTTAACAGGTCCGCCAGCAAGGTGGCCGTGGGCCCCAGGGAAGGACCAAGGGGCCAGGGAGGACGCGGGCGCGCCAGGTTGCAAAGCGGGAAAGGGAGCTGTGCTTGGGGCAGGGTGCAGGTTGGTGGATCCTGGGTACAGTGAGCCCTGTAGTCCCCAAGGCACACACCCACTGCCGAGACCAGCTTCTGGGCTTTCCCGGGGTTTAGGTTGGGGCCCTCGCTTGGTCTTTCCGTGGGGAGCTGCGTTAGGAGCTGCGAAGGTCGCAGTGCGGCCACTAAGTGCTGAGCGGTGCGCGGTCCCCTGCCACAGGTGCTGTTGCAGAAGCCCATTTGCGCTCAGTTACCAAATACTTCTGCGGAAATAACTTCCTTTTCCAAGACCAGAGGTTTCTAACATAGGAATCTCCTGAAATCCTTGGTAAACAGGTGCCTGCGATGTGCATTTTCCTAAGGAGAGAACTCATGGCTTTCGCTCATGCAATGGTGACCGCAACATGTTTAGGAAAGCGGCCGTGCCACTGCGTGGGTTCGAAACTGTGCCCCTGGGCGTCGTGTGTGCCTTCAACCTTGCGAACAGACACCAGTTCCTCACTATGAAACCTTTGGCGGTTACAGACCTCAGGCTGGCGCTGCCGGGCGCTAACCAGACTCTGCCCCCAGAGGGCGCTAGTGTAGCCTGGAGCAATTTCAAACTTCCCTTCCAAGGTTGGTCTCTTTGGAAAGGGAGGGATGGAGATCAACTCATTCAAGTGCTCAAGGGCTGGAGATTGCAGCAAGTGCCTGGCGTTTTGCTTCAGGCCAAAGTTAAAAAATACCCCTTTTCTTTGACTATTAGCACCATGCCAGGCACACTAGTAGGTGTTTTGCCAAAGTTAAATGAGTGAGTTAACTCACTGTAGCAAATTCACCAGGTGATTTCACAAGTAGCCAGGAGAAAATCCAGACTGAGTTCTGAGCGGAATTCCGCTTGTATTCCGTTATTGAATTCCGCTTGTATTCCGTTATTGTTAGTGCAAACTGTTCCTCCTCTCATTTGATTTGGCACACGGGAGGCCGTTCCCTCATACAAATTTCCAGGAATGAGGCAAGGAGGTGAGGGCTTTCTCTAGGGTTCTTTGTAAAGACTGGTGTCTCCAGGTGGGAAATGCAAAGCCATTCTTCTGTGAGCCCATCCCCATTTAATGAGTGACCCAAAGGAAGTTTAGAACTTCACGTTCGCATTCGCTTAAGGCTTAGATTTTGTCCCACTATCCCTGGAACTTCTTGTATTTTAAGACTAAACACTATGATATAACAAAAGTCGCTAAGAAAATTGCTGATTTAAAAATATTTACTTGACTATTTGGTCCTCATTTTTACTGTCTTATTTCATAACTGTTAAATCTGGAAATCAGGGTCGGTTTTAAAACAATCTAGTTTGTAAAAAATACTTTTACAATGCTCTGATAAATTCTAACTGTATTATTTCCATTCGTTTAAATCAGATTCCAGTACTCTTTGATTTAGAAATAAAAATAAGAGCCGGGTGTGGTGGCTCACGCCTGTAATCCCAGGTTTGAGGAATGCCAAGGCTGGAGGATCCCTTGATGCCAGGAGTTGGAGAATAGTCTAGGTGACATAGTCTGACATGTCCCCTTTTCTAAAAAAAAAGAAAAAGAAATTAACCATGCATGGTGGCTCATGCCTGTAGTCCTAGCTACTGGGGAGGCTAAGGCAGGAGGATCACTTGAGCTCAGGAGTTTGAGGCTGCAGTGAGCTATGATTCTCCCATTGCACTCTAGCCGGGTGAGAGAGCAAGATCCTGTCTGAAAAGATGAAATTTGGTTGAAAATACTTATGTGAATTTCCATGTGATTAGAAGGGTCACACCTAAAGGCTTACTCTTAATTGAGCAAGCCAATTGTGAGGCACACAAACAATAGCCTGAAAGCAAAAAAGCACTTTGGAAGTTCAGAGTGAAGTTACATTTATTGTTCCTGCACAATTCATGTGTCATATAGACCCAACGACAACCAAATCTGCAGCAGCAGCAGCAACAGTCTACAACACAAATCCATTCTCTTCAGCCTAGCAGAGAGTTGGAACTGTTAAATTAACTGGAAAATCTCAACTGAGATTCTGAGATTGTACTGTCTAAAGAAAGGCAGAAACCAAAGCGTTCCATCATTGAGTTTATTGAAGAAGATGCTAAGAGGAACAGTTGCTGCTAAATCATTTTCTTAAGACACTTTTAGAGTGTAATAAAGCCATTTCTGGGGGAGGGAGGACAGGAATGGCTGCCAAAGAGACAGCAAGATTCATACTAGCCAAGATATGGAAACAACCTGAGTGTCCATTCATGGATGAATGGTTAAAGAAAATGCAATATATCTCTGTCTATCTATACATCTATCTATACACACACAATGGAATGTTATTCAGCCTTAAAAAAAAGAAGGAAATCCTGTCATTTGTGACAACGTGGATAAACCTGGAAGACATCATACTAAGTAAAATAAGCAAGGCACAGAAAGAAAAATAACTACATGATCGAATATATATGGGGAGTCTTGGAAAAGAAGTCAAGCTCATAATAAAAAGTAACAAAAAATAGAATAGTGATTACCAGTGGCTGGGGAGTGAGAGAAAAGGCAAGATATTGGTCAAAGAGTACAACCTTTCAGTTATAAGATGAATAAGTTCTGGAGACCTAATATGCAGCATGGTGACTATAGTTAATAAAAATGTATGTTTCACATTTGCTAAGAGAGTCCAATTTCAAGTGTTCTCATCACACACACACACACACACACACACACACACAAAGGTAACTATGTGAGATGATGGATATCTTAATTAGCTTGATTGTGGTCATTATTTAACAATGTGTATGTAATGTATATCAAACCATAATGCTGTACTCCTTAAAAATATGGAAAGAAAAGTATAAAAAAGAGACAGGTGGAAATGAACTCTGGTGGGGATTTTAGAATAGGTGGCTCTATATAAATCTTTAGAATAGGTGGCTCTGAGTTAACATAAGCGGGACATCAATGTTTTATTAATAA